AAATATAAACATCCAGTGAAAATTTCACTTATCTACGGTAATTTGTTTTAAAGTTACACCAAAAACCAAAATCGATTTTCTCGAAAACAGATTTTGCGTAAAAATTCCCGTTTTTCCTTAATTTTTCTTTTGTTTTTCCCGGAGCTTTTGAAAACTACTAGGAATTTTTTACTTTTGATCCCCCCCCCCCAGAGTACCAACTAGATTCACTTTCCTGTCAAAAATGATACTGTTGAAGAAAATCCAAGCATTTTTACTGTCCTAAAAGGTGATGACAGACACAAAAAAAAAGAAAAAAGAAAAAAAAAACGAAAGAAAAACACACATCGTTGTAAAATCAATACATTCTTCGTTCCACTCAGAAACTAAAATTGTCGCATTTCACACGCGGTACATCGATGGCACTAACTACTAATAAAGGTACCTACCCAGTCACCCAGATGACCAGGTCAGTACCTATAATCAATAATGCACAAAAAAAACAAGTTTTTTAAATTAAGTTAGAACAAATCAATTAATTTGGTATCAATATTATGTTCTATTATGTTCTATCGATAGAACGTTTGGTTTTTAAAAAATAGAATTGGGAACAAAAAGTTCTATCAGTATAAAATCTTTTGTTTCCAAACTAGAAATTTTAAAGTTATTTTATATTTTGACTACTTAAAAGGATATATTTTTGTAATACCTATTTAATAAATTGATAGAACGAAAGTTTTCGGATTTTTTGATACCAAATATTTCAAAATCGCTTGGGCAAAAATACGTTATTTTAATTTTTTAATCTTAAAAACGCTCTACTAAACAATTTTGATATTTATCTTTAATTATTCCAAGCCAGCGACCAGTTATAAGTTATAAGTTATAACCAATGTATAGATTCAAACAAATTTCATCCAGAATGTATCATTAAAACTAATTTGCACAACATGTATTATGTTTATGAATGTTTTTTTCATATTTTCAATTAACTTCCGTTTTATAAATTATGTGCATTGCAGTAGTAATTTCGCTATATATTTAATTATTAGATATGCTCCGTCTAAACTTAATAATACATTTTTCGCAAAAATTAATTTTTTTTCACCCAAACTCATTAAAATGTTTAATTTGATACTCAATAAAATATAGAACCGAGATTTCTTATTATTATTACCTTTGATATGTTTGGCAGTTTTTTGTATCATCAAAAAGTGTTTATATAATAGGTAGGTATACCTATATAGCTACATAAAAATAACATATTTTTGACCAATTAAATTTTTTTTTTTAATTCTGATGATTCATACGCAAAAAATACAGCTTTGAATGGACGTATGGTAATAACGGTATTCCCTACTATGTTTGTTACAACATAATACATTTATAATATAATACCCGTTTTAAAACACTTTATTGTCATTCATAAATTATAACAGACGATGTTTTTATTTTCAAGCATAGGGTAATTATGCACTAGAGACAATAAGTAAATCGTATTCAGATCGGAAATAGACTGACATATTCTATGTATGCAGGATCTCATAGCTCAGGAAAGAGTCATGATGGGTATTGCTGCAAGAACATGTCATTCAAATGCATACTGACAACAAAATGCAATGTTCTTATGTTTGTAGTATATAGAGTCAACAACTGCTGAAGCCTAATTTCCGATACTCTTAAAAAAGTATTTTTTATTGGACAGTGTAATAATTAACTCTTTATATGTCATTATACGAACGAATCATTTTCCCAGTATTATGAGGTTTCTCATGTATTTTGCCCATACTTTAAAAAAATTATTTTTGGCGGTAAACATCGTTATTTTTATCATACATATTATTATTAAAATATTAACACGCATTATATTATAGGTGTGCAATTCCCACGCGTTGAACAAATTATATATAATCATTCCGTATCGCAAACTATAAACGTCTGAGTGGTCCGATCTATTTTTAAGGCAAATGATTGAACAAGTCGTGTAATATACCTATAGTTCATGATATATTGAATATTTGTATACCTATAAATATATATTTTATATTATAGTGCGTTTTCCACTGAAACCAGAGTATTTTTTTTGGCCGACAGCATCGACAGCTCGGCAATAAATATATAGCAACCGGAATAAAATCGAAAGACCTACCTATCCTATAACGAGGAACACATTATAGGATCCTTGCCAGCCCATTATTACGGACGAAATACCAGCTAATCCAAAGGTGTACAAGAAGAAAAATCAAAAAAATCTCTTATAAAGCAAAATATAATTATATTAATGTTATTGAAAAAATGTTTATAGAGCCTCCGAGAACACGGTGGTGGTCACTGATCAATATTATTTTGTAAGTGTATATTATATTTTATAATGTTATAAAAAAAAAAAGATTATATAGTTTCATTGTATTACGTTTAGTGTTGAAATATTAAATTTTAAATCTATGATAAATAATCGAATACAATAATATCGATTATGAGGTAGGTATTTGTAATAATTTTGTTCTTGATTTCTTCAAAACTTTTCGGTACTTTTTTATCCCGCTTGGAGAAAATTTGTTTGGGAAACATTTCGACTCTTTATAGAGATATACCAAGAACATTGAAACACTCTTTCTAACAGTAGAAGTGAAAAAATAAACGGTGTTAAATAATATAGATATCAGATTTAATAATTATCGGAAGATTATGATAAGGCAACCGAATATTCTAAAATCCTGCACAAACTGTGGTGGGGAGATCGTGTCATCACACTACGGCTGCCATCTGCCAAGTAGTCCATCCCTGGATCGATCCGAACGTCAAACGGTACAGTTATAAACGTAATTATTTATCTTGGGCATAAATAATAATTATAACAATATAACGGCATTGTGTTTTTTTTTATTTATTATTTGGACGCGAAAATCCGCCGCCGTGTAAAAACCGAAACGTCGGTTTGTCATGCACGCCGACTCTAAATTTAAGCACAAAACATCCTTGAGCGGACTATGGAAATCGACGATTTAAAAATAAATGACCCGCTGGCGGACGCGCCTAAGGTTCCCGTGTTTTACATTATAATATCGCCTATCGTTTCGTCAGATGTTGCTCTTTCCGCCATTCACTGCTTATTTCGTGTCCATATTAAAAAAACCCGACTTTTTCGGCAACTATCGTCTGCAGCTATAGGCATTACAGGCGGTTCTCCGATTTTTTTTTTTCGTAGATCGTTTATTTACGTATTGGTATGAGAGCTTACCTCTAACCCAATATTTGAAACTGAAAACTAGCTCACACATCAAAGTTTTTTTTAATGCGAGAGACGATGTTTTAACATTATCACTTTATCAGCAATTAGTCATCCCTTATTGGTCACCGCGAATTGCATCACCACTAAAGTCCAGTTATTTTCATTAAGCTATTGGTTAATCGAGGTGGTAGGTACGTCGGTTTCAGATCGATATGGATAACCTACTCTATCAAGAGCTGGTTTGACGACTGCGTTTATGAAGTGCACACACTCGGAATGTGAAGTAGGTATAGTGAAATGTTTAAAAGTGCAAAAATAATAGTTTATTTTGCAATGGAATAGTTATAAAATATATTGTTATCACAGAACACATTAAATATAATTCAACGCTGAAGCTATAATATCGGACGAAAGACTCACTTATTATAGTGGTACTTAAACTACTATGGCAATAAAACGGCGAGGAAAATAACGTTAATGCGTCGAAGCAGCAAATATTCGTGAAGTCTCTGAATGCGTTCGGGACGTGTGATTCGGGTGGAAACAATTAAGGTGTCCAGACACAATATTCGTGTACATTTCATTTGTTACGGGGACGCGACGTACCTGAGGATTCGTGTCCGCCAGTCGCCTATTCCTTATTTTCGGCTCCTCGCCGCACCGACATGACGACGTGTCGCGTTCTTATCACGACCTTTCCGCATCCGGCTCGAGCGTTCGCACTCGCGATACCGAAAAAGCCGACGACGATTTCGCGGTGTCCAACCGATTACGATCGGTAGTATTATTAATAATAATAATAATAATTGTTATTATTATTATTATTATTATCTTCGGAAAATAGTCGAAATACGTGTACGCGCACACGGGTTTTCGGACCGAATCTCTGTGCGCGCGTGATGAGACGCCGTCCACGCCCGCCCGAGTGCGAAACCGCATGGAGGGGGATCGGTTTTACATGCGCAGTTTGCACAGAAATATTGCTTGCGATTTATATCACGCAGTGGTCTATTTTAAAGTTTTTGTTGTATAGTTTCTTTTTTTTTCATGTTTTTTCGTTTCGGGGTTTTTTTTTCAACGTATTTTATTCTGACGACTTCCTTTCATTTGTGTGAAGCACATATACATCATGTTACGGGCGTTTGCCAATATTCTTCCCCATACCGCACCATCGTCCGTTTTGCCCACACACGCACGTACGTAATTATAATTATTACCATTATTATTATTATTATTATTATTGCTACAAGTACAGTTACACACGGTCACGCATTATGACATACATTATTTTTGTCTGTTACTGTTTAAGAATGCGACATGATTTCATTTTTCGGCGCATAAAAATAATTACAATTTTCTGAATAATACGTGGCAGCGTGTCGTTACCTAGTAGCGACAACGCTATAAGACTTTACCTTAAAAAAATTGGCTTGAAAACGTGTTTTAGGTCAACACCGAACGTCTCGAACGCCCAGGATATAAAATATTATTTTTTATTTGGTTCATAATATTTTATAACGTTCAGTATAAAACAACAATTTCCTAACATGAACAATATTACTGTTACATTTCTTATTAAGTGTAAAAAATAAAAATAATAATTAACAATAAAATAATATAAATAGAGAACAAACATGTTTAAATATTAAACATTATGGACATTGGACATTATAGCTTACGAAACCCTGTCTTTTCCCATTTCACACTTTTCTGGGCCACGAGTATATCGTGGACAGCGGTAATTGAATGTATATACATATATATTATATTATATACAAATCACCAAAAATCAAATCCTGTCCCACACTTGTGTCTTGAAGAATCGGAACAACAGAAACCCAAATACCGGTACGGACAGCTTTTCGTCCTTGCACATGTATAGCCAATAGCCGAACACTGCCAAAGAAAGGTTGCCGAATATCTTCAAATACGGTACCGCGTTGGGCTCGGGAATTTCCGGCCGATGCAGAACGACGGCCGATAGCCATTCTCCAGATGTCGCTAGATCTACATCAGCTTCCGGTTGTAAGGACAACGTTGCATCGGTCTCGTCGTAGTATTCTTCGTCCCCATATTCTTCATCTACGTCGCAGTCTTCTTCGTAGTCGTCCCGCAGGCCAGCCTCAAATCTAACGACTGGTTCATCGTCGCATTCGATGGCAGCAGCCATTTTCAACTGTTCAAAGTCCAGATAAGTTTTTGCTACAGGTCTCCTGGCCACCCCACTGTACTGTTCCACTATGGCGCCGTAATGTCTAACCGCGATCATCTCGGCGGCAGCGGTGGCATCAGTGTCAGTGGATGAGTTGGCATTGTCATCTGTGCAGGTATCGACAGTAATGACTGGAGGCTCAATCGCTTCGTCTCCGTTACTGGCTGCCTGGGATATCTTCGACTCTCGTCCCGGAGACTTCTTCCGGGTAACTTGATCATCGTACCTGTCACGGTCCGGCCCATTTGACTGTCTGCTAAAAAACGGTGGCACAAAAATCTTCTTCAGCACAGACTTGGGGCTACGATCGCTCGTCTCCGTAACCGTAATGACTGGAAGAGTCGGTCTACCGCCACTACCAACACTGGTTTCCCGTTCCGGTATCTCAGGTGGTACGATACCGATCGAATCTGACGATAATTTGAACTTAACCTGCTCTGAACTGTCGGACGCAAATGCATTTTCCTTGAAGAACGGATTTGGTAACATTACGTACTTGGGGATCCCGTCCCTTGGTCGATAAATAGCATCCACTGGCATCTCTACCGTAGATATGTCAGCCGTGTCTGATTTGTTCTCATCCGGCCGAGAGTATTCACCACTATCAGTCGATTCATTAGAGTAATTTAAGGAGTCTTGTGACATCGAGTCAGACTTTTCCGACCTATCTTCCATGGACGGTGGAATTACCGCCGTCGTCGACGGTCTTCGATCAGAATTTTCAGAGCCTATGGCGGCCGATGTTGATGCTACCCCGTTGACATTTTCCACCCATTTAGCTGGTGACTTTGACCTTTCTCTGTCGGACAGTTTCTGATCTGACATATAATCATCGTCATAATACACTGTTGAAAAGAAAGCGCTAGATGTATTGTTTTCTAACGCTCGTTTTCCACTTCCAAAATTGGTAAACTTTTCTTCCGACCTGTCCGACATATTATAATCATCGTCAGATTCTATTGACGTTTCAGACCCTTGACCAGAAAATGAAGTAGACTGTTCCGGATTGTCGTCGTCGATTGTTTCTTTAGCATCGTCCATGATTTCTTCTTCTATGCTGTTCGCTAACGACATAAAACTATTTGCATTTGTTCTTTTAGAAATATCGACAACACTATGAACTGAATCTGAATCGCTAAAAATTGATTTTTCTTCCGAGCCATCATTTGATCTTCTAGTGATAGGTGAGCGCCTTAAACTATTTTTCCTATCCATCGCATAAATTGCAATTTTTTGAGCTTCGGAAGACAAATTTTCATTGTTTGAATATCCATTAAACCGATTTAAGTTTCGTTCGTAGAGAAGTTCACTAGAGCTGTAAGAGTTCCTTAAATGTTCTTCGACGCCTTCAGACTCTGCACCTAATTCTGGAGATGATAATGAAATGGGTGGAGCTGATCCTCGTTCGAAATTCAATAGTAATAAAGAATCTGTTGAATTCCCTAAAAAATATATTTACATATAATTTTGATGAGTACATTATTATATTAATAATATATGTTATATACTTATATGCATACTTTTTGTTTTATAATTCATTGGCGGTATTTGAGAGTTCGTTGTATCTCCTTGACTTATCCCACCATTATTTGTCTTCAATCCAGGAGGTAAACCCCAATGGTCCTTTTGTTCAATTGGCTGTTGCCAGGTCTCAGTGGATACGTCTAGATAACTAAATGATTTATAAATATCCGTCTCTGAGTTATTTAAATCGGTCTTTGACTTTTTTTTTCGCCTCTTTGGTACAGGAGGTGAAACCTCGTCTACACTTAGTTTCCTCGCTTTAGACAACGGCTCCGGAGATTTTGATTTTCGACCAAAGTACTCTAACATTTCCGTTTCTTGAATCTGTATTAGCTTTTCTTCGTCCTCGAATAAGAGAGTCGGTGTGACAACCGGCTTGTATATACTATATAAAAAGATACATGAATAAAAGTAAATATTTCTACTAAATACATTATATTATGCTTAAAACATTTAAAATGCTAATTTACCCTCGTTTGATATCCGGTAAAAATATTGGTTCAGATACGTCACTCGGTAAGCTCATACCGTAAGGATTTTCTGCTTTTACTCGAAATCTGTATTCCGAACCCTCAAGTAAATCGTCGAGGTCTGCCGTAAGTTGTCTACTGGTCGATGCTTTTAACCACATATCCCAGCCAACCTACGATCAACAGCGTTAAATATTAAAAAGTGATTAACCAAATAGCTTAACATCGTATTACTCTATTATACTCAATTATATAATTTCCAATTTTACAGCCTCCGTCATCTTCCGGTGGCTTCCAGGAGAGTGTTACAGATTTACCTGACGTTTTGGAAACATGCACTTTACCTGGCTGTGAAGGTCTATCTAAAGGTAAAAATTACATTTAACTCAAATGTACGGAAATAATTATGTAAAAATATTATATAATGATTATTTTAATACTATTAAATGCCATTTTGTTAAATAAATTGTACGTACCCGTAACGGTAACCAAAAATGAAGCCATATGATCACCCAACGGGTTTACTGCTTGAATTTGATAGCACCCTCTATCTGATCTCTTAACACATGCTAATTTTAAGGCGGCATATTTATCTGTATGAATCACTTCGAACCTGGAATTTTTGAAATATTTATTGTGATTACATGATTATAGTTTTAAAAGATTATAATTAGACATTTCATTTTTATAATTCTCTGCAATAACATAAGTTCTAATAAAATGATAAACTTCATGTTGAAATAAAAATACGTTATTTAATTAACGGGTCCATTAATTTTAAACGAACCGTAAAATTGTCAAATTCTGTTCGATATTAGATATAATTCATTTTATATTTTTTTTTATATATTTATAATCTAAAATTAATTTTATTTATTAATGAACGGTAAGAATATTTGTTTATTTGTATCTTCGGACATCTAAAATAATTTAGTCCCAAAATATAAATTTCAATAGTTCAAAATTAATTTTACCTATCACCACCCCGGATTTCTTCACCGTCGTGAAGCCAAGTAACTTGTGGTAGCGGACGACCGGAAACTGAAACTTTTAATCTCATAGGTTCATTTTGTTCCAAGAGCAAACCTTCTTCGTAGTCTTGCGGTAAACGAACCATGGGTGGTGCTAAAAAAACAATTTCACGTTCAAACGATCATCTTCACGACGTGTCACAACTATATATTGTGTCATTGCACTTCATTTTATTATTTAATATATTATTAATTTTTAATGCAATAATTGTGTAAATATTGATAAATTGATTTATTAGTTGTCATTCGACCCTGGCTTATATTTTGACGAATTGTCTTATACTATAATAATTATTTATGACGGACTGAGGTCTATGTATACCTTCGAGTCTCAACCTAGCCTTTGTTATCGCATGGCCAGCTTTGTTTGTAGCTGAACATTTTATTTCTCCTTCATCCGAGTACTCGGCCTGATGGATGTATAATGTACTCATTCCATTATCGGTATTCACTCTTTGCCGTCTGTTACTGAGCAGTTCAAACCCGTCTTTGAACCAACTGATTTTCGGTGCTGGCGTACCTTCAAACTCCACTTCGAATTTTACCTTAAAACGTGTTCAATTATTATAATTTGAGTATAAATATTAATGTTTACATTGTTATACTGGTGTATAATTTATATATAATTGCATAATATGTACAATTATAAAGTTTATTATAATGTATTATAAACTGTTCAAATTTTTAGTATGCATAGTCGACATTCTATATACATCGAATCTGATGAGAACCCTAGAAATAATTTTGAGATTGATACATTTTTATGTAACTTAATGTTCTTATGTAAATTCAACATAACCAAACATTTTAAAAAAAAAACTAGCTACCTATTTGTTTTTGCAGGTAAAAAGTATTAAACTTGAGCAAATCAAAAATAATAATAACAATACAACAGAAAGTCTTGGTTCTTTGGGTATGTGGGTAAAAAAAATAATTAATAATATGTTTGTGTACTAGAATAAAAAATTTAAGTTGGCTGTATAATCGAGTTGGAGCGACATTACTAGGTGTACGATATTATGATAACCATTCGTGTATGTACCTATTGTATCTAATAGATAATATGTACAGTACAACTATTTGGAAATCGTCAGTATATTGCGTTTTTTTTGAAAGGCTCTCCAAAATTATTATTATATTACATAAACAGTACTGGGTATATAATAACAATAAGATCTGCCAAATTTAATTAACAGCTCTTGCAATAGTTGTTGTTGACTATTTGCTATAATATACCTCACTTTTTTTTTAATATAGTCTAACTAAAATGATTACATAATTAATTATTTTTAGCAATTTTTCAATTGGTTTTCTAACTAGATTTACGTATTATGAACGTTGACAGACCTGGTCGTTTTCCAACGCGACGCGGTCTTCTATTCCACAAACAAAAACCGGTGCTACAACCGCCGTCCTGTGAACGGTCATCGTGACCGGATCTGAAACGATGCTCGGTGGCGATTGTCCCGATGCGTTGATAGCTTTTACTCTGAACTGATAACGCCATCCTGGCTCGAGGCCACTCAACGTCAGCTGATTGTGTTGGACTTTTCCCGGCGTGGCTTTGACCCAATGCGGCGAAATGGTCCGACGATGCTCAACGATGTACCCTAAAATAAACATTAATCGTAATACGCCTGTAATAATATTGTACATAGATATATGACAAATAAAATATGTATTTCTATCCGAAATGTTAACTTTAAGAAAAAAATCCCTACATCCCCAGAGGGCATAACAATAGCATAGTAACATAGGTAATACTATATTTTAATCGTTTACCCTGTAACTATGTTACCTGCCGTTGAATAATAAGTCAGATCCATCGATATAATATGGCATTATAACGGTTCATCTCATATCCCACTGCCATTTAATTCGTATTGAGTACATACCTGGTCACGGCTATGTCAAACCTATATAGGTGCACCCTTAAATATTTACCATATGCATACTATGATAACCACTAGATTCAGAATTGTCGAGAAAGCACCACATAACATGTTAATTAAGTAGTAGTACCTATACATAAGATGTAAATTAGAAATGTAATTATATTGTCCTTAAGTATTTTTAATATTTTATTATCAGTTAAGCATTTTCGCATTGTATCATAAATGATTCTGAAAAATAAAACCCATAGACAATTAATAAGTAATGAGTCAATACTAATAACTAATACGTAATAACTAATGACAAATAACAATTTTATATAATATATTTTAGTATTCAGTTGTGTATTATTTATGTATTTATGTAGTAATTCTCAGAAAAATAATATACATGTGTCTCACAGCCAAAAATGTGACTTTCAGGTATACGAAGTAATGATACTTGTATGATACTAATAAAAAATTGATTACATAATAAAAATTGACAAAAAAGTATATTGGTACAATAATGAAAAAGTTAATAAATTATTATAAAAAAATTATTTAGATGAATAAACGCCTTGTTGATTTAATCAATGCGGTTATCACTTACCTACGCTTTATAATTGATAATAAACAATAATATTTTACCTAAACTGTTAGTTTAAATGTGCTCAATTAAGATTATTAGAATTAGAATTATTAAGATTTGTAGTCAAACGTTAATTAATGTTATCAATTATCAAAATAATGATTTATAAACAAACCGAAATTAGGTATAATATTATGCATTTATTGATACACAATATTATTAAAATGCAAATACTTAGTTTTTTTAACTATCATGATTTAGAAGTTATACTATATTTTATAATATAATTTAATATATAAGTATATATTATGTATATAATTGTATTATATAGGAATAAATTAATCTTAAAATATTGGGTACATATTTATCTATTGGGTACATATTTAGTTATTTTTTTGTTTTATTTATTTACTATATTTTGGCTATATTCATTCTATAAAGATTATTCAGATATTCTGCAAGGGTTAAAGACACGCGTATAACACTGAGTTATTATTAATAGAAATTCCAGTAAAACATTATACTTAATACGCTTCGTTCTACTTTTTTGGCACCGGAGAATAATATAATATACTTCATGTGAATGAACTCTCTTGGTATATATTTTGTTATTGTGATCCTTTTCATAGGTATACTGTATAATATATAGTCTTATTCAAAAACCTATAATATATTTTTAAATGATACTAAATTTAAAATATTATATCGTTTTAAAAAAAAAACTGTAATGTACTTGTCGACGATTAGAATAATAATTATTAGATTTATTTAATTTTTAATTATTGCACTCCTTTGAATCGTTGCAAGCCTAAAAATTGTATTTCAAACAAAATAATCTCGTTAATAAAATACCACCGCATACAATAACATAATATTAAGTATTTATGTGCCAACGAGTTGGATATTGTATACATAGGTATATTGTGTAAAAATTGTAGATTTATAATTAATGCGATAGGTTTGTACAAAGTTATTAATAGTGGTTAACCGGAACCCTTTGAATATTGGGAACCGAAACCTCACTGAAAAATTTCTTTAAATTAATTTTAATTCCGGAACCTCACCTGAACCCTTATTTAAATTAATTTAACCGATACTTTTACTTGATAAATGTTGTCCATAAGTAAAAAACCAAATCAGGTAACAATTTTTTTATTTGTTTATTATGTTAGCTTTTCTGGGAACCAAACCGGAAGTGAAATTTTAGTTTTACTGGGAACCGAATAGGAACCGGAACCGTAAAAATCATCAAGGTTCCAGACCCTAGTTCAAGTCGGTTTTGGATCGATGCAAAATTAAGTATGTACAATGGTAGTTGTATTCTATACTATAAATATATACAGAGCGATATCGTGTTGTACAATTCTACCTGTGATTTTCGAACCGCAGTCACGAGCCGGTGGTTTCCACTTGACAGTTATCACGTCCGGTTCGTCTGCTGGATCCGCGACCACTAGATACGGTTTTCCCGGTGCGGACGGCGGACCTGAGACAAAACGTAGGTACTTATATAGACAACGAGATTAACATTTATTGCATCTCATTTGTGTCCACGGAAATCTGTTAAGGCGTAGGTACAATGCAGTGGGCGTGTGCGTGTGCGTTACAGTAATAATAATATGTTAAAACAACATAATACATATAACTGCAGGGCCGCTCGAATGACGCATATAACAATATTATATAGTAATATATTATACTGTATAAGTATATAGGTGAACGGTGGCATACCGGAAGTGAACCTCTCGGACGACGACGACGACGACAGATGATCTCGGGAACTAGCCGCACCGTTGTGCTGCAGCCTGTGCAGTTTGCCGTGCGACGAAGACGAATTGCCCATGGTGCACTGCCATCCAAAGTGCTCTCCGCGGGGCCGGTGTGACCGGACGCACGCGGTGACGGATATGCTGGACGGATGTAGTACGCGGGTATACGACGACAACAATAATATAATAATACGACGAGATTATCGAATTCGCGAGGGCGAACGACGCATATATCGTACGCGGTTTGCGGTACACGATTTTTGTATAATAAAATAATATTAAATTTTACTGCGCGTGTGTGTGTATTATAATCGTCTTTCGGGCGGCCGAGAGAGCGGCGTGCGACGGCTCAGAAGTCTGACACACGAATATCACCGAAAATAGAACGCACACACAGCTGCTGTCGGGTCTAGCCGGTGCCCGTGGACCTGCTGCGCACTGTACGTTTTTCACACTCGACCAACGCAGCGGTGCAGGCGCCGTTTTTTGTACGCATTATTATAATAATGATTATTATTTTCATCGGAATTATTAATTTTATTTTATCACTGGTATTGGTATTACAATTTTTACCATCATTATTACAGTAGGTATTATTACTGCGGTTATTATTATTATTACGATTATACGATGGCGTGACGGAGAAGGCGCCGCGCCACAGACGTAGACGTCACTATGACGATAGCGTTGGCCGAAGGGGCATGGAAAGTTGCCACGATTTCAAAGAAGATTTAGACTTTTAGATTTTAAGCTATGAGAGGAATGCATTTAAATTTCTTTTATGTGAATCGACGGACCGATTTGCAACGAGAAACGTGTTTGAATCACTGGCAAAACTTGATGTCGGGAAATTGAAATTACCTCATCAAAAACCCTTTCACAAATGAATATAAAATAAATGTTAAAATGTCAAGTTAAAAATGATTTACTTCATCCAAATCCTCCAAACAACCACCGAAAGTTCACTCGGAGTTACGTCCCTGATTATAAGATACGTACATGTGCCGAATAGTATGATGCTAACCTCATTAATGACCTTAAGATTTTAGACTGGTTTTCGTCCACATGATTCGTAATTTGATTATCACTACATTTTAATACAATATCTTGTTTTGCTTACCATGATATAAATTATAGGATATTATAGGATTTAATACCCTTAAAATTAATGAAAATTGAAAATGTCCAAAAAATAATTTAGATATGATGTAAAGATCTCAAAAACTGCATTAAAATGCATTTCTTTCAGATTTAAAAGTAAAAACAATAATATTAAAAACTGTTTTTTAATTTTTGTGTTTAAATTACAATTTATAGACTATAATAAAATTCATGTCTTCGACTTCTAACTTGGTAAAATTTAATATTAAATAAAATGTCTTTAATCAACTATATACTAACAGCAATCCAACATCCAACTTCAGTACCTGATACACCATGATGGTATTGATTACAACTCTAAACTTGATAAAAATCAAGCTACAAAGTTAATCGTAATTCCAGTGATTAATGATAAGTCATTACATCAAACACCCAACACTTATGATAAAAAATACGAAAATATATCTATTGTATTTTCAATAAAATAATAATAATAAAACTGATTGGATAAAAATTATGTTAACAATTTTTTTTGAAAAATGCACACCAAAAATATACTACAACCCGAAATAAAATAATTAGTATTTACTAAAAGACCAAAACACATTTTCCATTCTCGGAGTGACATTTAAAAGGACCAGTACAAAAATTACATTGCATCGAAAATCCAGTCCTAAATATTATTATTATTGTACAATATACATCTGCTATTTAAATGTCGCCCAGGTTTTCTTCAATTTCATACACAGGATCTTATGTTCGGGGAACAAAGCCAAACTCACTCACACCAATAATCACTCTCGAACAGTTTTATGGTTATTGTTAGAAAATAGCTTGGCATCCGGATTTCATCCAGACGACGGACAGTTTAGACAAAACGACCGTGATTAAACACGCGATTAATAGTTGTAGTGGATACACTATGTTATGTTTATGTACCTATATAACATAGCGTAAATATAATATAATTTACTAATATACGAAAAAAATATGGTTTTTAATCCGACATAGAAATAACATAATTATATATAGGTGAACAATGCAATCTATATGCTACACCTGCTCATTTTCGTTCTTTATTTTTTTCGTTTCAATTTATCTAGCTAGGTAATACCAATGCAAAAGCAGGTAGATACCTATATTGAGTATTTACACGAAAATAAATAACTTTACAAAAATGTATCTCCACGCCAGAATAATAATATATACCTAGTCACATTTACATAACGTACCTATAGGATTAACTTTTTCAAATACATCGAAGTATACCTACAGTCATTTGTAAAACGAAGCATATATAATAATATGACACACGCGTTAACCTCTGGTGTAAATTTATTATTATACAATTATTATATAATACACACGCGTCCTAAAAATATATCATCATGAAACAGCAGATGTGCAAGTCAAAGCCAAGGATTAGAACACTCGAAATTCAAAAGGCTTATGATAATATTAATAATCCAACAATAATAACAATCATATATCATGTATATACGTTATAACTGTTCTTATATATTTATATGGTATACCAATCGAACACGTCATGAGTGAAGTAGATACTGAAGTATACGAAACACGTTCACTATATAATATTATCATATTATTGTATAACAATTATTATTATTAACGTGGTTCCAACTGAGTTATTATTTAGAAGAATACTGGACTTACGTTCCGTCTTCCATTATAATATCATTATTATTTATTGTTGGTAAGATGTGTCCTCTTGAAGAATAATATAGAACGTAGTAAGTTATGGACCCGATAAATATAAAAATGAAATATTTTGTATGCCCAACTCGCTTCCCGCACATTGAAAATAAATAAGCAACCCGATAAATAACAAAATTAATTATGTAAATAAATAAATCGTTTTCAAATCACATAATAACAATCAGAGTGAGGATTATACAAACGACTAGGTATTTGTACGTCAAATTTTTCCTAATTTATTTAATAAAACTCGACATTGTATATTTAACACATCTATATAGGCGTACTATTATATGTTGAATCAAATATTTTCTTAAGAAAATGATTTACAGGAATTCTATTGATTTTTATGATTTCAATACAAAACGCTTTGCTGAATAGATTCAAGTTTTTGGAGTTATGACCCTTTTGCACTGGCAGTGCAGTGCGCTCCATTGGAATACGAAACGTTCGGTATTGGATGTAAAATAATATTTTATATAGTATATATACATATCTATACTACGATGAGAAAGAGTAAATCGATAGAGTAAATAATATTAAGAATACGTCGCACATGACGGGAAAACTTTCATTATTGAGTTTATTTTGTTATCTTTAAACAAAGTATCCCCATAAGAAGCGCTCCTGGTTCGATGTCTGGTAAATCGGTGCCCGCAAAACCCTTTCCGCCCACACCACGAGTATAATATAATAAATGTAACCCATCGGTCGAGTAAATTGCATATTATTACTGTAGTAGTCTCTCTCCACAGATTCCATTGGTTAATTATTTATCTTCACAATGGAACGACGAAACGATTAAATATGGCGTTCCGGATGAAACGCCGGTGCACGCATATAGTTCTGAAAGCAAAATTATTTCTATTTATAATAATAATATTATACAATATTCACTGGGTTGTACTACACGCGCAACAACCGCATTATCATAATATACATAAACCCAGGTAACCCGGTAACAGGTTAATTTTAAGGACGACGATACATTACAAGTATAATTGCCGCATCGTGTGGCGTCATCGTTGGCTATAATATAAAACTCTACGGTCTGTACCTGTACGATTGTAGCTGTACTTACATTATACATTATATATATATACTGAAAACTTCTTGTCGACTCCGCTACTGAAGACCTACCCTGGATGACCATAGAAGTACCCTGCTCTATTTCGGACGACTATTCACGTTTGTATATTATTTTGTTTTAATATAGCACGAGGGGCGGTTGTGAGCCGTGTTATTCCTAAATTCAGTCGCATCGTCCATTTTTCTACAAGTCGCATAGTTTTCTAAAAATTTTAGGGCCGTTTTCTTCCAACACCGAGCGAACTCTGTAAAGGTACAAATCGAAAACTCCAAGTCATATCTCACATCATAACGATACATGAATGTGTATAAAAATTAATGTCCCTTTGTTGGTTTGTCCACTATATAGACTCAACAACTATTGGACCATTGTCCGTTTTTAATAAAAGTTACCATATTAATAGATTCCTTGAGACTCGGAGGGTGTTTTAGCTTATTTTTTCAACACATTGTGATCATTCGAGATTTGCTTTCGCAGTTCTAGACGTTAACACAAAAATATGTCTTGCATGACCTATATTATTAAGAAGTGGGAAATCATAAATTGAATTATTGTATTTATTGAGTTTGTGTTAGGTACATAATATTTCAACTGAAGGAAAACGGAATACAATAGACACTAGAAAGATAGAATAATTTTAACCCTGGGAAAGTCGGGTAATACGCAGCTAGAACATAAAAAATATACCGTCACTGGTATAATTCTATTGAAACATAATATCAAACAGTGCATATTTTATGAACATCGTATTTATCTAACGATAAATCGTACATTCCTCATTATGCATGTACCTTTATACAAATTTTATTCTGTCACGTGATCGCTTGTTTTAGTTTTTGATACGATCAAAAGCGAATATTTTATAAAGGATATTTTTAGACTTTTTTATTGGTTAAGAGTAAATTGTTATGCATATTTTAAGAATATTTAGGATATTACACATTAAACTTTCATTAAACGTCGACACAATACATAAATTATATCATTTTATTAGACATTAATTTCTATACAGCCATGCCGTTATTATTTTTGCAACTATAAATTTTCATATTTTTTTTAATTTTTTTTTTTTATAAAAAGCCGCGACAACATAAAATATTGGCTTTTGATGATTACAATGTGTTTATACACAGATAGTGTTTAATATAAAGTTTTACAGTTTATACAAAATAAGAAGGCAAATTTTGATATTTGTTTGCATGTGTAACATTATTATTGTTGAGCATCATTAATATTATATTACATTTGTATATATTATATAGTATATTATTTCACGGTGACACAGTCAGGAATATAGTTTTTTACATAAGTCAAACTCAATAATAGTTATTACTATATATTTCTATTAAAGAACAGCGTTTAAAAATGCCATATTTTATATTTTTTTTACAATTATGATGTTATACATAATATAATATATGAAGGTTAAGTAATTGGCTAAATTAAAGTGTTTATGTTATTGTGTTGATTTTCGCTTTAATATTATCGTTAATATGTTTAGTCGACCGACGACCATATTTTTTAACAGACAGATATAACAGGAATATTAAAATTATTAATGACACTGCATTTAGACAAAAAAATATTTGACTTGAAATTAGCTGCCAAACAGATAACAAGAAGTGCCAAAAAATTGAAAAAACAAGAGGCCAAAGAAATTCATACATGTATGAAGCATGTGATGCTCGGCGAACTCGAAATCGGTAGGGTGCACGCGGAAAATGCAGTTCGCAACCATAACCAGAGTTTGGAATTACTAACGCTCGGGGCCCGTTTACAAGGAGCCCTGAATATCCTGCAGGCGGCTATTGTGCAAAACACGGTATGCACTTTTTCAATTTTTTTTTTTTTTGGTGGGGGGGATGTGAATGATCTATAAATGCATATCACGATTATCTACTCAAGTTGGATCTCGGGGCCTTTCATGGCATGTATATGATTTGATGAAGTGTGAACTAAAAGCACTGGCTGTCTAGTATTATAGGCACCTATACTGTAGTCTATATAGTAGTACGCAGTTGCCCCAAATTTAACCCCTAAAAAATGATAATATTATGTCTGAACAGCTTCATCGTAAATTGTGGGTAAAAGACTTGGTATACAAAACAATTAAATGTATTCATACAAATTATAAATAAAATAATACGCTTATTTTCATATATTTTTTATTTGATTTGTTGTATAGACAACTTACTACAGTTATCTATGTAACAAAAATGTCAAATTCATCCTTTTGCTATTGTGACTGGTAAATAGTTACACTATAACCAAATACATAAATACTTAATCGTGTACCTGTCCTGTTGGCTATTATTTATATTTTAATAAGTCAGTGGTCAGTGGCTATATTGTCTGACACACATTGACTCTTTTCACTAAAAATTAATATAACATATTCCAGTTACTTGATATTATAATATAGACAAATATAATATATACAATATACGAAAACAAGCGAATTTTTTTGGTTTATATCTAAGGGTAAATGTAAAATTGTCTTGTATACAAAGCGGGGGGGGTAAATGGGTTAGGGACCCCCCACCAAAATTTTTAAAAGTTGAAAAAAGTTTAAGATTAAGTTTGATCCAACTTATTTATTCCACGGATTAAAATGGCACCGACTACTGTCTACTACTATAGTGCCATTACACTTTCAGCACTTAATCGATACTATCAATGGCAAATTCATAGTAATCATAGCATTGAGTACCAATCTGAGTTAATATGAACAATGCTGTAAATGTACACTCTATGTATGTTCGGCTCTTGCAGTTCTTAATCTTAATATAAAAATCTGGCACTGTTTTTTTTTTCACCACTTGAATATTTGTGAGCGGATGACGTGTTGCCAAAAGTCTAGTTTTGGTCAGTCGTTTTTACTAATTGATCGATTAATGAATGATAAGAAACCTGAAAACATAATCGATATGGATTAATTTTCATACATATTTTATTTTTTTATTTCGTATAATCGTATTTATGTATTATATTTTTGAATTGATGCTGGAAATATTGAAGTATCTACCTATTGGTTTATAATACGAATTATAACTAGTTTTTTTGGTTTACAGTATATAGTGTATTATCCCTTAAAAAGTTTTTTTAAAACAGATAACGGCTAACGGTTATCCAATTCTTAGTACCTAAAACTTTTTTTTTAGTCTGTAGTTTTATAATATACGGTTCATTTATTGAAATAATATCTGTTTATTTGTTTGAGATTGACACAATACATAATATCTAGTATGGATTCCTCGATATTTTTTGTGACCAATATAATATTAATATCATCGACATTGAATAAAACTGTAAATTAGTGAATATATTCGATATAACATGAGTATACATTTATACATTTGTATTTTAAAATATATGATTGAAAGTTCAAACGATGTTTTAATAAATTTACGTAAACGTTAGGTACATATAATTTTCATCTATATAAAATAACCTAGAAAGATTTATTGGTGGTTCCGTTGGCCGTGGCTGCAGTGTGACGAATAAAATATGTGGTGATATTCACAGTGTAAATTATTATTGGTACAAAAAATTAAATTTAAAACAGCTTTTCGCGACTTTGATTCCTAATTGAGTACTTTGAGTGTATAATATTTTTCGAATAAGATCACTCCAGAAGATCACGATATCGTAGTTGCCAAGACAATACTATCCAAAAAAATCAAAGTTATATAAATCAAATGTTCAGAAAAAAAATAACACATAATTTAGTGTAAATACCACGTATAATACATAAAATCCAAAGAGAATATAAGCGTTGAAACATTGTCTCGTATAATATCCATTATCAATATTATTGTCAAAATACACCGTATCTCCAGATTATAAATTATTTTTTTAAACATAATTTTGATAGCACAATTAAATATGATGTCAACCTATTCCCAAAATTTGATTTTATAATATGTCTCCTGAAAAAATTACATTTCGGAGATACTTAGTATTTTTTTTTTTTTTTGCAACGATGATAATATATTGCGTGTTACAATCTCCTTAATCACATCAGCGTGTATTATGTACCCGGCGCAGGTTACTTCGGCCATGCGGTCAGTCGTCACGTCGATGGCGTCGGCCTGCGGTCAGCGCGACATGCACTTACCGTCGCTGACGGCCACCATGGACAGGTTCGAACGGATGACCGACCACTTGGGGGCGCGGCAAACGTGCGCCACCCAAGCGCTCGGCGGCGTGACGGCCACGGCGGCGGGCGCAGAACAAGTCGACCTGCTCATGGCGCGAATCGTCGACCGGGCCGGGCTGGACGTCAGGAGCGTAATGCCCGCGGCCTTGGCAGAGGGCTCGCCACTGCGGCAAATCACTCCGCCGGCGCAGGATCCGATCCTGGGACTCGACGAACAACTGTCGAAACTCAGAAATCACTACGGATGAATAGCGATAATTATTTTAACCACTCGGTAGCATGATGTTATCATGTTATTAATGTATGTTTGTTAAATCTAAATATACCGATAATTTTCTCTAGTGTAAGTCATTTTGCTGCTATAAGTTACATCCGAATAGGACTTAACTATAATATTTCATAAACAATATGCTATTGTATTAATAGTGACTGTACGAACCGACGACAGTTACAGTATCACCCTATCAACTATTATAACTATCGTGCATATCATTCGCTGTCGTGAAAGCAGCTATCGCGTTTTACTATCATCGTGTGACAGTGGCTTAAAGCTAGTAAATATTAATATTAAATATTATAATATGTATAATCTATCTATATATATAAAAATGGAGACAAAAAATTCGAAATTGCATCAGTTGAGAACGGCTGGGCCGATTTTGCTCAAATTTTTTTTAAGATGTTCGTAATTGCCAGGTGAAGGTTTTTACGAAAGAAAATTTTTAAAAAGTCAACCGAATAATTAGAAAAACTGCAAAAACTATTTATTGATGTCTGGGATTTGAACTCGATACCGTTGTCTTTATTTACTCTATTGTGTATTATATTATATTGGTTGCTATTGGTTAATCGGGCATGTTTGTTGATTTGTATTATTATTTTTTGTAAATATATCTTATATATAAATGAATGACGGTGTGTAGATTAGACCTATGGGAAGAAGATACGCTAATTTAAAAAGGGTTAAATTTGGTTTTTTTATTCATCGGATTTTAGTACGGTTATGTTAGGTTAGGACTTATAGGTAGGTGGAATTAAGTAAAAACGTCAAACTTGGTATAACTATTTGGTACTTTTTGAGTTAAATCATACACTTACGTACAAACAGCACGGGGTCCGAGATCTACCGCAGGTAAATTACCTATCTGATAATGTACTGCTGCAATTCAGAATTTTTATTCCGGGCAACAGAAAAGTTAAGATAAATCTAGAACATCATACACCGAATATTAAATAACGCATTGAACAATGTTTGAGCCATATAGAGTTGGTACATTTAACGGGAAACGAAGTGCACGGGATCAGCTAGTTTAATATAAATGTTGGCAGATTCCTAGGCCGTCATAATATTATAACGTAATATTATATATCGGGACGTTGAAAGGCAAAATATGAAACCTACTGTAATATACATATAATAGCCAATAGGTACAGACATTATACAATATACCTATACTGGCTAAAACTCGCAACTATAACGATTGCGCGTAGGTGTTTCTAAAATACAATAAAATTAATTCAATACTATGTAATAATTTGGTAACCAACCAGTTGATGGAACAGATAGCAGAATGGGGTGATTAGGCTATGTAGGTCATATAAATATAGGATTATCTGCACTATATAACCTTAAAAAATGGATTAAAAATACCTAAAAATTCAGTTTAAATAAATAAAATGTCATTAAAAAAAATACCATTAAATATAATTTAAAATAAGAAAAAATAACGCTATAAGCAAACAAAATACCTAGAAATAACAAATGTCAATAAATTCAAAATAAAAATCTTAAAATTGAATTAGAAAACATAGATAGTTGTTAATGCTTTAACTAATATTACACTAATATTAATACATTGTATTTATTTATTATTTCGTGTAGGTACCTATATAAATCAAATTTTCATGATAGTGAAGTTTTTCTCATAAAAATACTAAATAACAAAAATTAATTTTACAATATATAAAATACGGTTCTATATAAGGAACTGAAAATGAGTTTACGATTGCCTGTACCTATAGTAATGATGGTTGAGACTATTGACACTACTTGACAGTGACGCGTTACGCATGCATAATATAACTGACAGCCCACTATAAGATTAGCCGATTGAGTCTGAGTTTCTCGACATCCATAAGTCCTGATATAATATTTGATGGCTCCATGATGTATAATTCCTAATATTATGAATCATATAGTGGCAGTGTTTAATATAGTACTGTGATAGGAAATACCACTGAATTAATTAATTAAAATAAGTGGTGGTTGAGGAATTGGGCCACAATGGACTTTTTTTCAAAAAGCTATAAGGTAATTGGGTCATTTAAATTTTAAATTTATAACAGGTAGGCTGGGGTTCATTCAGGCACCATTTTATTTTTATTTTACTATTGAATCCGTTGAAACAGAAGTTATAATATTAAAATTAGATGTGTAGGGACATTAAAAGCCAGGAAACGAACTTTAATTGAAAGAATTATAATATTTATGCACCTAATTAAGATTTGAATTTGTGAAGTCTTTATTGTATTATTTAAAAGTGCAATTGTATTTTTAAGTAATTGAAAAAAAAAAAATTATTATTTGACTAATTGTATGTACTTATACGTCTTACTTAGTTTTATATTTTACATTTATTCAAAAAAAAAAAATGTTAAATTTAGGTCTCTACTGTAATTAATAAAATGTGTTATAAATTCGTATAGGTACATATTTTTATGCTATACAATCTACGGGTACATTTCAAAAATGATATAGTTAATTTGTGGCCCAATACCCGGATAATAAAATGTAAACAAATATTGTATACTAACTACGAAGCAGGTAGATAAAATGTGATCCATGGACCAATTACCGACCACTCGGGTGATCAATCTCAAGAGTTCGACTCTACACTCTTATGATAAGTTCATTGTGCGCCATTGTGATACCAGACCGCCCGAACCCCCCTGATAGAGGGTGTATATAGTTGTTTTTTCCACCGTTAATATAATATATTGGTACTGAGCAAAACCTTATTTGAAGAATCCTGAATCGCCCATTTTGTTATTGTTTATGTAAGCATACATAAGTACATATTATGCATTATTGTGTTGACTATTTTTCCTTAGTTAATTTGTCTTTTTTGTCAGGTAAACAAATTAACTACCATTCCGGCCCCTATATAATACAACCATTATATTGTAATATTGCTTACACATATGTTTATCTATCTTATTCATATTGTATACGGTTATATTGAGTATAAATGTTGTCACAAATAATTTACTAATGCGTAGCCATAGGCCAATAAACAATAGGCGATCAGCTATACAAAAAAATAGACATATTTCATTCCTCCTTCATACCCGAATCTGATTATATGTGTCTGGTGGGGGGGGGGGGGCAGCGGGGATCAATTGAAATAAAATGAATCAAGACGACGATTCGGGTGACTTTTGGAACAGTTAAATTTGTCAATGGAAATTGACTGAAACAAAAGTTATTAATTATATAGATCGTTGTTTGGAAAATTATATGCATTTTAAGCTTACCTACCTAGTTAAATAATTTCGCAGGGGACGTCGGGACCGACCGGCACACTTCCATACATTGTAAACACACACGTGGTTCCTATTATACTATATAACATTAGACGTGTGAATTGTTATTTCAATACAATAATACAATATAACGAGCTCCGTATAACAATGTATATTATATAATGTATGCCATATACACTATATAACTATTATTATATGTATTATAATATATTAAATCGTTTCCTTCGCGGTATATATATATATATTTTATGTATGATAGTAATAATACATACTTATGCATATGCTACCTACCTGTGTGACTGCGTATATACGTTACTCATAGGCCCATTTCACACAGGACGGTTTCGTCCGTGCGGATTTTAATCGTACGGATTTTATTTGGCAGTAAACAAATAAAATTAGTTGTGGCTTTCACACGGGACGGTGGGCGATTTTTATCCGTACGGTCGCCGTGATACAGCCGTGTCAACGACTGAAAATCACGGCGCCGTGCCGTCGCCGTCTTATCAGTGGCCTACGTGACTAGACACGCGTATTCATACTTCACGGTTTTTAGTCGTCTACCGTCTGTTGTCAAAGGTACTTGCTGTCTATTTTTTTTAGAAATAATTAATAAAAAAACATGGATATCGACACAGACATTTTAATCTCTGCTGTGGAATGCAGACCCATATTATGGGATAAATCCCAAGAACTGTATAGGGATAGGAATGGAACAAAAAACGCTTGGGAAGAAGTGTGTGTTGAACTAAAATCAAATTTCAACAGCTTACAAAATAGTGAAAAAAACGAATTTGGTGAGTTTGTATATTTTTTGTATATTTATTTATTTTTGAGTAGTATATTTAATTTAATTTAAATTTAAAATATTTATGATATTTATGATATTAAAATATTATAATATTATGACATTTAAAATATTTACACTTTTGACATTTGCCACGGGACTGATCCAACGTTTACAAAATAGTCGCATAATGTTTGTCGTATATTGTTTGCTGATAAACCTCCACGAGATGAATATTCTGGTTGTAAATCCTCCAACCCTGTAATTGTTGTACTATCTTCAAACAATATTCCATCCCTCTCTCTCACAAAATTATGCAGAACAACACAAGCCTTGACGATATCAACTGCAAAATCTGGTTCCACGTTTATTGGTCGGTGGAAAATTCGCCACTTATTGCTTAAAATTCCAAATGCACATTCAATATATCGCCTCGCTCTACTTAAGCGATAGTTGAATATTTTTTTTTCTATTGAGAGGTTTGATCCTCCAAACGGCCGTAATAAATGTTTGTGTAATGCGAAGGCTTCGTCTCCAACGAAGAAATAAGGCACATTAGGACTATCAGTACCCGGCAGACATTTCGGTTCTGGAAGCTGGTGCGTTCCCATTGTAATAGATTTCCATATCTCACTTCGCTTAAAAATAGCAGAATCGCAATCTTTCCCATAACTTCCAATATTAACATATACAAACCGATAATTTGAATCAGCTATTGCCATCAATACCAGTGAATTATATTGCTTGTAGTTATAATACATGGACCCACTGCCAGATGGGCAAATTATCCGAATGTGCTTCCCATCTACTGCTCCTATGCAATGGGGAAAATTAGCATTTCTTTCAAAATCCAATGCGATTGTTTCCCAGTTTTCTTTTGAAGGTGTGGGTAGAAATTTCGATTTCATTACTGACCAAATAGCATTGCATACTTCTTTTACTATCATGCTTGCTGTTGAAATACCAATTCTATATGTATAGTGAAGATCTGTGAAAGTGCATCCACTTGCAAGATATCTAAAAAACGAAAATTATTAAGTTTTATTAACCTGCATTACATGCAAAATTAATAATATAAATACAATATAATATAATATAATATAATATAATTGTGTTGAGTTTTATACAAATTTGAACTTCAAACGCTAATAAAATATATTTACGGGATATCGTTCAACTAATGTTTATATTTATATTAAGGGGCCTGCTCCCGACCTATTTTTTGCTTAAAAACATCCCCTTAATATCAACTTATGTAGAACATAAAATAAAATAAAATCGTAACACTTAGTTTTAATAAATGTTTTCCTATAATTATATAGGTAAAGAAGTAATTAGAAGATGGACTAATGTACGGGATGCCTTTGCAAAGTTTTGCAAAAAAGAAAAAGAAAATAAAAAATCCGGTTCTGGTGCATTCAAACACAAAAAATACGTTTACAATGATCAACTGTTGTTTTTAAAAAAATTATATATAGGACGAGATGTAGTTGAAAACTTCGAAAACGATAACAATGATACCCTGAATTCTAATATTGATATTGATACTGATATTAACAAACAGTCGAAAACTTTGAATGATGAAGTTTCAACTCAAGCCACTCCCACTAGACGTGCTGGTCAAGATTTGGGTTCTCGCTCAAAAAAACGTAAGCCTGATGAAATCGAGATGAAGATGCTGAAAATTTTAGAAAATGATGTTAATCCAAACAGACATCTGTCTTTCTTTCGTGGTGTTTTGCCAGCATTGGACAAATTTGACGAAAACGAGGTTTTGAAGTTCCAAATGGGGGTTTTACGACTCATTTCGCAAATCAACGATGAAAAACAAAGAGTTTCTCTACCTTCATTTCCTCAACAACATGCGTCAACTTCTCAACCATACCATTACATGATGCCTGTTAGTTATCAATCTCCACAAACTGCCACCCAGTGTTCCCCAAACTATGGCCAACCCTCCAATTCAAATACTATTACACCAATAAATCGACCATTTCAAAGTATATCTCCAGCCCAGTCAAGTTCTTCCTGTTATAGTGAAATAGATTTTTCAACTAATTACAGCCAGACTTAATCTATGTTATACGTTTAAATTTTTAAAGTTTTAAAATTTGACCTAAGCAAGAAGCTTAAAATATCATTTTTATTTCTTAATAAAATGGTTTTTACACAGGAAAGTTATTAAGTTATTTTTAAATGAGTTGTATTAGGAAATATTTCAACTCACCTTTTGTTATTTCTTACTAATATGTTTTTTTATTGTAAAAGTTATTATTTTATTTTTATTCAATAAACGAGTTGTAACAAAAAACATTTTGACTTACCTCAGTGTCACAGCTAACATTTCCTTAGGTTGAATACAGTCCCTCATTTTAGTATTCTGCCGCTGAATACTACATTTCAGCCGGTTATGGAGTTCGTCAAAGGATGAAATAGACATGCGGAAATAGTTGAAAAATTTATTTTCATCTGCAAGTAAATCTTCAAATAGCGAGTTAAATGTGCCCATGACATTTCTTCGTTCATTAATTGGGTGCACCCAGTACTTACGAACGCGTTGTTTTCTACGTAATCGCAAACGACGGTACAAAAGCCACATGGCAATGATGCGTTTTCGACTCATGTTGAAATCCAACTGAGGTAAAACAGATAAAATATAACCAAACGTAGACGATTTACGGGAGAAAAACCGTCTTGTGTGAAAACAACGTCCGTGCGGAGAAAAATCGTACGAATAAAATCCGCACGGACGAAATCGTCCTGTGTGAAATGGGCCATATACTTCGTGTCTTGTATTCGCAATACGCATATACATTCATATATTGTTATATCTTTATAAATAATATATATGTGTAAGACGACGACTTTCTACGTTTTGTGAGTGGTAAAGGGATTAAAATATATTGTTATTTCGTATCGACGAGGATGGGCGTGTGTGTGTGTGTGTGTGTGTGTGTGTGTGTGTGTGTGTGTGTGTGTGTGTGTGTGTGTGTGTGTGTGTGTGTGTGTGTGTGAAAATAAGGCTGCAGTATAGGTGTGCATATGATATTATATATAATATATAAAGTTATGTTCCGGGCGTGCGAGTATATTATATACGGCTTTTGGTGTCGGGGGTTGGAGTTGGGGTGGCTGTGACGTTGACGGTGGTGCGTGCAGCGCGCGCGGTGCAAGATAAACAAGACGGCCGCGCTGAACAAACAACCGCAGCGCATAAAGCCGTCAAGCCGCAACGTTTGCAACCGTCCCGAATAATAGGCACCCCCGGCTCGCCCTATCTCGTCCCTCTACACCCTAGCTACCCATCACAGGCCCACCCTTCCGCGCCGAGTGCGGTTCAGAGTAAGCCCCGGACCCTCGATGTTTTTTTAACCGACCGTATTAATTTGATTGGTCCTATTAAATAATTCAATACGCCACCGCCGCCGCCGCCGCCGAACACGCATCGATATTATAAAACGTATTATATTTATATATAATATATATAGATATATATATATATATGAAAACATTATATTTTTATACTCTGTTGAGGATCAGCTGCACTCGTCGTCGTTTTTGCGATTTATACAGAGCGGTACTCTGAGCAGACTGCAATCCTAAGTGCGACAATGCCCATTCCAATCATATTTTATACTGCGAAGGGTAGTCATCCGAGTTGTGAAGTGCAAAGCTGACCGGTGAAGAATACATAATATTATTATTATTTTACGGAGTAGCTTTGCCAATTGTGTAACGTGACCTAACCTAATCAATGGAAAGATGCGGAAGTAATGTCTGCGACAATGATATTTTTTACCGGACTGAACAAATATTATTGTTGTTTAATTATGAATTTTAAACATACACTCAATCTATGTTTTCATATATTATGTTTAGCACGTGCGTATATATAATAGTTAGATAATTCTTTTCAGTGGCGAGAAAGTGTATACTTACCACCTATGACATTATTGTCACAGGTGAATCAAATTTTGTTAGTACAATTTGTATTATTTGGGTGTCAACATTTTATGTAGAGTTTGTCCTCTACATAACTCCTCTAAGAGATGTCTAATGTCATGGGTACAATTTTTAACTTCGACGCCACTGATTCTGTTAAACACATACCTGATACCTTTTTTAAATTTATTATACAATATAATATATGATAGTAAGTTTTAACAAATAACCTTTTATCGATAATTGTATCTAATTATTGTACTTAACACAGTTTTTTTTTTAAATATAAAAACTTTTGAGCTTCAGATTAAAAACAATCTTCCAAGTGTAAATTGAGAAAATAATGTACACTATATTTTGTACCTGTGTATACGTCGTATATATTATGTAGTAAATATAAATTGTATAATCAATCATTTTTATTATAATCTTATTTAATGCAACCTACGTATTGAGATTGTAGAACAAATTCAGATTATTTAAACACATTATTTTATAGGTATTAGGTAATATTATATATTGTAATACATTATTTTGTATTGTACTTATAGTTATAAATACCAACTGCCAAATACAGTGAAGTACGTAGGATTTTTCAATGGGGCTGCTTGAATATTAGTTACAATTTTATTTTAATTTTGTTCAGTCTAATAATTTCAGACTTTTATTTGAGGTACCTATTTTTAAATGTTTGTAACTTCTCAACTTTTCTGGTAGAAAAAATGCTTTGATCATAAACTTCGATGCCTGATGTAATATGATTTTTAAGCAAATTGGATCTAGTTGGTACTTTTAGGAGGTCGAAATTGAAAATGCTCAGTGCTTTTTAAAATAATTGGAGAAAAAAAATGAAAATGTATTGAAATTGTTTGGTAACCTGCAGATTGGTTATACCGTCCTCGCTTGGATTGTATTTGAATAATTAAAATTTTTTTTCTTTAAATGGCAATAAAAAATTATTTATCCGGTCAAAAAGCTTAAAAATGTATTAGTTAAGTTTTTTATCATAGCTATAAAATAATAAAGATACATAGGCATCATGGTTATTTTTTAAAAGCATTTAAAGTTCAAATTTCGTCAGAACCACAGTTAATTAATAATTTGAAGTTCAAATCATAGTATAAAATATTAAATGTGTATAGCTAAGGCTAGACAATTTAATACAAGTTCTTTCATACTAGTAGTTCATACTTTTACCGAAAAATTACATATCATTTTAGGAAAATTGGTATGCAAATCAAATGTTTTTTTTGAAAATGAATTCATTCTGTAAAACATGTATTATTAAATTTACGTATTGCTTACTATAGTTGACAGTTGAAACTTAATAAATATATTTTTTTAAAGTAGTAATAATACAGTCAATGACTTTGAGCTTTGGCCGGTTAGCCAACCCCCCTGCGTACGCCGCTGGCCGAATATCTTATAGAGTTTCTAATTCGTTGTATGTGAGTTTATATACAATTTATTAGAGATCAAAGTTCTAAACTCAGAACAAAAGAAATTTAAAAAAAAAACAATAGTACTAGACAGACTACAAACTAATTTCAAAATGCATAAAAACATATTAAAGTCATTCAACTTAATTTTATTTGATAAGCTTAGAAGATTAAATGCATCTAACAATCTTGGTTTGTAAGGAGTTATAGTATATACCTATGATATATCAGGTACACCATACACTTGAAATATTATATTTAAAGACCTTAAGACAATTTAGAAAACAATTTTGAACATTCTCTATACATTGATTATGATTAGGGCCCGGTTTTAAATGCACTTAAAACCATACAAATATGCTCTAAAAAATAGCCAAAAATGCCCTTAAAAATTACATATATTTTTAAAAAAATTAAAATAATATATTTTTCTCTTAATATATGTTGCTGAATCGAAAATTTTCTTTCATCCGCGACTTTAATATTACAAATTTTACAAAATAAAATAGTCCCATCTGTTGTAAAGACGTCTCTTCCGAATTCGTTTACGTAGTCACGTAAGCGAGAAGAAGTAGATGATTTTATTTTTTGCATTATTTAACACATTAAAATCACAAACACACGTAATACGAGCAACGACTGTAATGTAACACGAACTGACTGATTATTTGTTATTCGACCGAATACGGGTGACGCTCCACAGTCAATAATAAATTAAGATAAGATAAAATTGAATCGAAAAAAAAATTGACAATGTGTATGGAAAACCCCGATAAACCTTCTTAAATATCAAGAAAATAATTTATCTTTAGGTACATAATATTTTGAATAGGATAAGTTGTATATCTATATTGAACAAATATGCATTAAAAACCAACAAAATGACTCAATAATGCTAAAAATGCTCTAAAAATGATAAAACGTAGAAATATGTGAAAAAAAAAAAAATTATAAAATGTGTAGCTTTCAAACCCTCGTTACATGAAACGAATTATGATGTACTTAGAAAGCATTGTGTATGATCAACCAAAAAAATATGCACTTTGCATTGAAATCCGGGCCCTAATTAGGAATAATTAAATAAAGAGAACGCAAACAACAATAAATACAAGCTTAGATCTAACTAAGGAAACAAATATTATTGATAATATATTATTATGGTCCGTGAAGTCCTTATACAATTCCTATAATTAAGGGTGATTTGCTGTTACATATTACAAGAAATGTTAATTAAAAGGAAGATTGATTTAAACATAATACCTATATCGGGTTTATTGTAAACACTATATACTCAAAGGAAAATCGTTAATATTGTATTTTCATTGTATTGGGCGTCATAACTTTGGGAATAGATTGGTACCTGTTATTAAATAATAGTAATACACTAAGATCGATTTAGGAAAACATCGTATGCTTCGAAACAATTTTGTTTCATTTCATCGAATTATATTTATTTACACGCTGCTATAAGGAAGTGCTCAGTTACAACAAGCAACATGCAAAAAAAATTCTTCGATAGGTGACATGTCGACACCGATCCCAAATTAGACGTGTCGATCAATGCCAACAAAAAATTTCAACGTTCAAAAGCCAAAAAGCCGGCCTTTGGGTCGATGTTTCTTCTCAATATGACTTAACGGTGAATTATATAGAACTTTAAACAATTATTTTTTCGATTTGATTGCGGTAGAAATCTTTTAACGATTTTTGAATCAAAGCAGTTGAATTACAGTTTTTTTTCTCAGTATTATTCAGAAAATACCTCAGGGAACACTGAGTAGGCAATTCAACTGGCATACATACATAGATTTTAGTTCACGGCGTTGTAAAAAGTAAATTGATCAGTAAAGTAAGAGAATGAACCTTTTTTAGATTATCGACAACAAAGCTAGGCGCGATTTGTTTTTGTGATAATAAAATAATTTAATTTATTCAAAAATCAACAAGTTGTATTATCATTTTAATTTTTCACTCACTCAAAATAAAATTAAGATTTTTTGTAAACTTCTTGTATACATTAAAATCATGTATAGGTGCGGAGTGCTCTCTTCATCCATCACCACTTCCAGGTTTATGGTAATGACTTCTTAAGTAATGTCTTTTTATATGTTTTATCGTTGATCATTAAAATCTATAAAATAAATATAAATTAATTTCATAGTATCAGTGTACAATAATAATATAATTATACCATTGTATGTAAAATAAACTTAAAATACATCGTTCGGCTCAGAATTTAAAA